CTGAAAGGTATGGTGTCTGTGGTGTATCGAACAGACAAGAATATCTTCTGTGGTATCTGCCAAGAATTTAGCAGACAGTCATTTCCTGTCACAGCGGCTACAGAGAAGTTAGGATTTAGGTATCTCTGAACAACCATGCCCCTGCCCTCATCTGGGGCATTTCCACAATTGCAATTCAAATGGCAAGTTGCCAAGCAGCCCAATAGTGTGCAGGATCCTTTTCTGCTACAGAAGGAATGCTACACCAAATTTCAAGCAGCAGTTATCAGATGACTCTGAAAGGGACGTTTAGCAGACTTTTGCCCACCAATTACGGGCCGTTCAAATTATGAAGCATAATTATAATTATAACCGCATTGTTGTCAGGCTGATCCATCCAATCTGTAAGTTTCAGACTGACAGCCAGTCCTAAAGAGACAGGGTGTGTGCGTGTGTGTGCACTGTACAAGGTATAAGGCATAAACGTAAGGTGTAAACGTAAAGCAGAGGTATAAAGGTATAAGGTATAAACGTAAAGCAGAGGTGGGCAAACTCTGCCACTGACCCACAGGTGCCCCCAAAGCTAAACCACACCACCAACCTGAAACCCCCAATAAAAAGAAATTATCCCCAAATGCAAATTGCACTCCTCAGAGACCTGTAGTAACACAACTGACATTTTGAAAGGAAAAAAAAAATTCAGCATGCTTTGTGGGCAAACCCTTGAAAGCTGCTTGCACTGGGTTATGGGATGATTATTAAAGAGATTAGAAAAACCAGAGACAAGAATTTCCAAATATTCACAGGTGCCAGTGTAATTAGGTTGACAGATTATATCAGGAAGAATCCATGCAAGGTGGATTTCATCTAAATCTGATTGATTTAAATCATGATTTAAATTATTTAAAATCAGATTTTTAATTTAAGTATTTGATATATCTTTTTTTTTAAAAAAAAATCATTAATTTTTATCCACCCTGGATCTATGAGGACAGCACCGAAGGAAAAATGAAATATTCTTAAAGACAACTCAATAGAGGTACAAAGAGTTTTTAAAGTAAATATGACAGAGCATTGAGCGTTTAGCAGCATAATTGGTGCATATTTGCACACAAGTAACTTTACCCTGTATTGAGTCTTGTTCTGTATTAACTCTGTTTCAGACAATAGCTTCAGAGTATTTAGCATGAAGACATGTTAGTTGGCTGGATCACTCAGTGAGTTAGGGTAACTGGTTGTGGAGCCGAAGGTTGGGAATTCAATTCTCCACTGTGCTATTCAGAACAAGCCTGTGTGGCCTTGGGCAAGATGCCCAGTAGCAGTATGCAGTGGTTGTGGAGCCGAAGGTTGGGAATTCAACTCTCCACTGTGCCACCCAGAACAACAAGCTTGTGTGGCTTTGGGCAAGATGCCCAGCAGCAGAATGCCTACAGAAGAAAGGAATGGTAAACCACATCTGAGTATTCTCTACCTAGAAAACCCTGAAAAGGTTCACCAAAAGTCAGCATTAACTTAGTAGCACATGATTATTATTGTAACACAGGGTAGCTAAATCATGGCCTGCCGGCTCTTGTTACACTACAGTTTACATCAGCTCCACTCCACGAAGCCAGTGGTGAAAGGTGCCTGGAGCTGACATACATGAAGTTACAGGTTGTTCACTCCTGATATGCTGAATGGGGGCAGTTTTTAGTGATACAGAATTCCAGGAATGGACCACCATTCTTTCTTACTGAGAACAGATCAAAATGTGATACACCTGAAGACCACGAGTTATGCATCTACCTGCCTTTCTTTAATAGGCTAAAGCACTTCACAGGAATGGTTTTTATTAAGAAGAAGATCCTGTTCAGGACTAAATTCCTGCTAAAATTCATTCTCCGTAGCAAAACCACATGCTAGGGAAGAGTCACGCCTTCAGTACATAATCCTAGACCACTATCTGCTCAAACTGGTTTGACATTGTGACTAGAAGTGCAAACCAGGAAGTCCCCACTTCAGATACCATCACAGTTATGAGTTCTTGGACTGATAATGGTGATGCATTCCTGCTCTCAACAGATGAGTTAATAATGCTGGCTGGATTTGAAGTGCCATCATAAGAATTCATTTTGAAGACTTAAAAAGTACATTGCCAAGTATCAGAGTCTAGTACAGGGGACAACTATGGCTGTCCCAGTATAGCGATCTCAGACGTCAATCTTCAAACTGCAGAGCTGGAAGGGACCCAATGGATCATTGAGTCCAACCCCTTTCAAGGAGATTCAGAGGGGAATTGAACTCCCAACCAAAACTACTGAGCTATCCATAAGGATGGACTAGAATTTCTATCAGCTTCAGTCCTTACCAGTGGATGATAGAAACTGCAGTCTAACAAGGTCTGGAAGCCTCCAAGTTCACCTCTTGCCTCAGTGGTTTTCAACCCTTTGCTTTGGCCCACGTTCTGGGAGCATAAGCTCAAATATCTAGAGAGCCAGTTTAAGAATCACTGCTCCAGATGAAGACAAACAGCATTGCTACACTCTGGCTTCCCCTTGTTCTCTCTACCCCTGGCAATACTTGAAGCATCGCTACATTAGTCTGCTATTTATGTTGCAACATTTGCCAATGAGAGAGTGAAAATGTTTCTGATGCTCTCTCATGAATCACCCTCAGACACAGGAGTGGTTACGGGAAAGACCGGGAGGTGGTGAAAGTTTCCGGGGTAGGGTTTGTCAGGCATCCAGAGAAACCTAATCACCACATGACTCCTGAATTTGGAAGCAGCTGGAGAACTACTAACATGAAACAGAAACATGAACAGATTTGGAGAAAGGAGAGAAAACACGCAGGGTTGTTTATTTTTGTATTATGTGTGAGCTAAACTTACAGGGAGTTTTCCCAATCATCACAGGTAACTACTTTTTTAAAAAAGCACATATACAGGAAAGTAATGGTAATGCCTTTGGCAGGAGGTGGATTTGATTGAATTTTTTAAAAAATCAGATATTTTGATGATTTAAATAAAAATTATTTTTTAAAAATTTAAATTGTGATTTAAAACAACTTGATTTTTAAAAAACCCATTAATTTTTATCCACCCAGGGTGATATCAAGAGTGAAGAAGCGGATCAAGGAAGTTTGCTTCTAGAAGTCTGAGGCATGGGGCGAAATGATACATGTTCTTTGCGATCAGTTTCCTGCTCCTTATCCTTAAAGTTATATCCCAGGATTCCATTAAAACAGGTACCAGAAGTTGGGGAGGAAGCTGTGTGTTCCAGAACCATACACCACAAAGTCTAAAGCTTACATTGCCCCAACACAGCTCATTAACACATCTAGTTAAAATTCAGTTCTCATGAACACGAAACTATATCCTCATTCACATAGTTCTACAGAATTGTTGACTGTGACAGCTATCATGAGGGGGCTGGAAACATTTGCCACCGAGGCCTGTTCCAGTTTCGAAAGAGAGAATTAAGTCTGAAAGAGAGCAAAGCAATAAAAGGGCTGAGAAGAGAAATTCTCTCTAGTAACTTAAGTCTGACAAGAAAGATCACAACCTCAGCAGCTCCTTTAGGGACAACTTAACTTCTACCCTAACAGTAACAAACAAGGAACTATATTTTGAACAACAAGGGGAAAAAGGGAGAGATCCATTTTTTTTTAACTTGGGGAATTAACCCAGAATGCTAATCACAAGAGATTTCGATTTCAGCAGCTATGTTAATAAAAAAGGGAATAAATGATAGAAATGCAGGAAACCCTAAATGACCACTTTGAATGTCTTTAAGGAAGTGAGAGACTCAGCTGTTCCTGGAAGGGTCACTATTGCACTGATCCTTTCTGGCTACAAATACTTCCCTTCTGCCGTCATTCTTCCCCACCTGCCGGCCTCCAGGAAACACCAAAACCATTTGTGGCCAGTAAGGCCAGTTGCAAGGAAATTCAGAACAGTTACGAGACCTCACTAGGTTACCGATGGACACCACGTGGGGCTACCGTTGCTTCAAAGCGGGCTAGGAAATATGAACCCGTCACACCAGATCTCCAGCCATTTTAAGGCCGCCGTCCTAACCCGATGTAACTGCGGATTAAATGCCCCTGGATTCAATCCTGTTTACTTCTGGGCGACCGGATCCACAAAGGGCCGCAGTGCAAGGCTGCCTTCTGTGCTGGCCGGCAGTCAACACCACGGAACCAGGGACCGTCACTCACTCGGCGGGCACGGGATCCGACTTTTTAATGCGGGCCACGAAGGAGGAGCTGCCCTTTGAACGGGAACGCAAACCGAAAGGTGGCCGGCCTTCGGCGATGAGGAATCGGACCCCGGCGAGCTCCGGCTGCTCAGCCAGCAAGCCCCCAGCCGCCGGTGCCCAGTCTAAACGAGCGAGGAGGAAGAGGAGGAGGAGGAGCGGGAGCCCCAGCGGAGGGTGCAAAAACTCGAGCCGGGGCTGGGAGTCGCCCTGGCCGTTTCCACAGCAGGCAAGCAGAGCGAGCCCGAGAGCGACGAGGAAGAGGGACGCGCAGGAGGGAGGGAGGGAGGACGGACAATCCCCGGGCTCCGAGCTTGGGGAAGCCGCAGACCAAGCTCCCCCTCCTCCTCCTCCTCCTGCGCAAGGGAGGGGAGAGCTCGCCCCAAAGGGAGATGCTGCTGCAAGAGCAGGCGACCCCAAGGCCGGCTTGCAAGGGCGCCCCACGGAGCCCCCATGGGACTGGGAGGGGGGCTCGTGGGGGAAAGCAGGGCGTCGTCGTCACGGGGGCGGTGGGGGGCGAATCGCCCTTTCTACTTCCCCCCCCCGAGCCCCATNCCCCCCCCCACCTTGCAGCCCCGCTGCCAGCAGCCAGAGCCTCCCCGTAAGCAGCGGCGGCTCCTCCGGGCGTGCAGGGCGACTGCTGCTGCTCCGCTCCACGCTCGAGCTTCCCCCCAACAGAGGTCCTTCCTCGCTCCCCTTTCCCCATCAAAGGCCTTCCCGGAGGAAGCCGGCCTGATTAACGGTCGAGCGGGCGGGCAAAGGAGAGCTCTCTCTCCCAAGTCTTACCAGGCTTCCCACGGTCTTCACCATCTTGGCCGCCTCGGGTTGCTTTTCGGGCGTCTCTCTCGATCCCGGGTCAGGCTCCGGCTCCGCGATGGCTGCTGTCGGGCTCTCATTGGCACCGCCTTCCTGCATCGCTTTATGTATTGCAAGCGCCAACCCCGGAGAGTGCACTGCGCAGGCGCAGCGCGCCCGGGTCCCGGGAGCGCGCGCGCGCTCTCTCCCTCCTTCCCTCCCTCCCTTTCGGGCTCGAAAGCCCCTGCGGAGGCTGATGGGCGGGGCCGGCCCGAGAGGCGCTTCTGGAGCAGGGAGCGCGCGAGGGACGAGGCGGAGCCCGGGGGAGCGCGCGAGGGCGGCGGCCCTTTGGGTCCCGTTTGCTGGGCGCCCGGGGAGAGGTTCCGCCTCGCCCGGCCAGCTCCGAACCGCTTTTCCGCGGCGATCTGTGAGATTCCCTCCCGAAGAGCCCGCAGCCTTCCAAGTTCTTTTGCTGGAAATGGGACTGTAATAAATTTGGAGGGGGGGGGGTTGTGGATTCAAGGATCGCAGGGTGCGCGGCTGCTCCTGAGCATGCCTATGTCGACCTGACGTGGACGACCCCGAGGCTTCAGTTGTCGCCCGTGGGCGGGGGATCGTTGCGGTGTTCCATCGTCGTTACATTCTGTAAAGTCGCCCTCTGGCATCGGGGTGGCCCAGGGCGTCCTCCAAAACGTCCCGTCCCCGCAACAGCCCTGCTCGGCTCTTGTCAACTCAAGCCTGTGGCTTCCTTCAGGGAGTCCAGCCATCTCGTGTTTACTCAGAGGTAATTCCACACTCTTTTCAGTGGAGCTTTCTCACTCGGAAAAGGGCGTTCTGACGTCGGTTCCCTCCCCCCCCCCCCAGCCCGCCCTCCAGTTTTATGTGGGCAGCTGACACCTTTGGTAAACATTGGATTTTAGTGCGGAACTTCTGATCTCCCCCTTCGCCCAAGCCTGTGTTCCACTGACCTGGAAGCGAGTGACATCGTGGAAATCAATAGGGCACGTTTCCAAGAGAGTGATCGATTTTTTTTTCCTCCTCGGAAGAGCTTTTAAAAGTTTCCTAATAGTCAGGAGTAGTTAGAAATTCAACAGCTGCCAATTTCAGTACTGAAATTGGTCAGTTTCTGCCTCTTGAAGACAAAGCGGCAGGACGAAAACAGCAGCAGCAACCTTATAGGCAAGTGTGTTTATGTAGAAGCTGTAATTTTCTTGGCCTGTTCAAGATAATTTCATTTCAGTTAGTTTTGCTGCCCAATCCTACATGTGCCTACTCGGGAGTAAATCACATTTACTTTCGGTGTGGCCTATTTATAGATTTACTCTTTAACATCCGGCCCTGCTGATAGACTCTAAAGATGAAATCAGTGCAGAAAATTCAGTTTTTTTAAAATACCAGATTTAGCCAGATTGAGATTCTGGTCAGCCATGTTGATTGGGGTGGTGCCATGGGAACAGTTTTGAGAAATAATACAATATTTTTCTGTCAACAACAGAAGAGTCATGAGGCATCTTAAAAGCCAGGGTCAGAGCCCCCTCCCCCTATTCTTGCCCTTCCTCTGATGAATCCCAAGGATTTAACCAGTCTCATTAGGGGCACAATCTAGTTAGGGCAAAGCACTCAACTCTGATCATTTTCAATACCAGGTTGTTGATAAAGAAATACATGGTGCACAGGTAGCTTGTGATGGGGGGGGAGTCCAATTTTAGGACTAACCCATCCTGCAGTCTGTCCATTAGCCATCCAAAATAGCTCAGCAGTTTAGGCATCTGGCGGTGCAGCCAGATGTTAAGAGTTCAATTCCGCACTGTACCTCCTTGTTGGGCTGGATTCAGTGCTCATAGGGTCCCTTCCAGCTCTGGAGTTCGATGATTATTCTAAGATTATAGTGTGAACAATGTTCAAAGAGGGCAAGCAAAACCACACAAGGAGTCCCATGGCATCTTACACATTTAATGTGTTCATTATAGCATGAGCTAAAACCTTTTGACTCTGGAGTTGCACAGGTATGTATTTAATAATTAAAAATAATTATGTGTAGGTTTGCTGCCCCATGGGATTCCAGCTCATTCTAGGACTACTCTATTTGGAATTTTGTCCTGCCAGGTGATACCAAAAATGCATCTGAGGCAACACATATGTAACATGTTTAGCTTCCACTCCTGCCATGCACAAAGGGTCAAGGACTCGCTGCAGTACAAGAGTGTGCTCAGGACACAGGCTCTATAGACCTGGATCTTGGTTTATGCTGTCAACTTCTTATTACGCCATACTCTCTTTGTGAGTTTAGAGGACATGGTAGCTGCTTTGCCAATGCGTTTATCCAGCTTGACATCTACAGAGTGTGAGAGATCATTGAGCTAAGGTACACAAAGTCATGAACAACCTCCTATTCTTGTGTGGAGATGGTAATAGAGGGAGGTGAGTCCATGCCCTGGCCCATGACTTGTGTTTTCTTCAGGCTGATTATTAGTCCAAAGTCTTGGCAAGCCTTACTAAAACAATTCATAAGTTGTTGGAGCTCTTCAGCAGAATGGGCAACAACAGCTGCATTATTGGCGAAGAGGAAGTTGCACATGCATTTCAGCTGGACCTTGGTCCTTGCTCTCAATCTAGAGAGATTAAAGAACTTTCCATCTGATCTAGTCTGGAGATAGACACCTTCTCTTTGCAGTTCCAAAGGCGTGCTTCAGCATGACAGCAAAAAAGTTCCCAAACAGGGTCAGTGCGAGGACACGGCCCTGTTTCACCCCGCTTCAGCTGTCAAAGGGATCTGATGTTGAGCCATCCATCAAAAAATACAGTGCCTCATGAAGGGACCTGATGATGTTAGGCAGTCAAGGTGGACATCCAATCTTGGGAAGTACAGTATCTTAAAAAGGCCGTCCCTGCTAACCAAATCAAAGGCCTTTGTAAGATCTATGAAGGCCACAAAGAGTGGCTGTCATTGTTCCCTCCATTTCTCCTGCAACTGTCTGAGGGAACATACTATGTCAATGGTGGCTCTGTTTGCTTGAAAACCACACTGTGATTCTGGATAGACTCTTTCACACTTGATGTTTTAATTATTTAATTAATCAGCCTCTGCATCTTAAATCTTAGAAAGTCATTGGCTTGAATCTGCATTCAGTGTTGTTGTTTTTTAAACATGATGGACCAAAATATGTTGCTACTAAGATGAAACAGCAAACTCAAATTGCACCTCTGTGGCACAAAAGTTGCAGTTAAACCCAACCAATGATACTATTCTCTGTCTTCCAGTTGCAGCCCAAAGTGTGCAGTGCAAAGCAAGTTTCTTTACCTGGCCAAAGAAAAAGATTCTATTACAACATCCATTTGTACAGTAATGTATAGGCAAGTTTATTCATTTTTTTTTTTAAAAATGGTCATTTTATAAATAAGGATGGTCATTGAACAGGGATGTAATGTATAGGCAAGTTTATTCATTTTTTTAAAAAATTGTCATTTTAAAAATAAGGATGGTCATTGAACAGGGACATTTTCTACATTTTAGTTTTACGACAAAGTTAGAGAACGTGCTGTCTGCCTGATGATACTGGAGTTCCATCAGCCCTTGGCACCATAGCCAGTACTGAGGGATACTGGGAATTCAGTCCATCTAGAGCAGTGGTCCCCAACCATGGGCCTCCAGATGTTCTTGGACTACAACTCCCAGAAGCCTTCACCACCACCTCTGCTGGCCAGGATTTCTGGGAGTTGAAGTCCAAGAACATCTGGAGGCCCAAGGTTGGAGACCACTGATCTAGAGGACCATATATTTCCCACCTCTGCTTTATAGTGTCCTTGGACAAGAAAGATGTGTTTGTGGTGGTGGGGAGTCATTGTACTATGTGTCCAGCAGTCACACATGTACATGAAGAATCAAAAAGCATTTTGTATGAACGTCACAACATAGCTGCTCTAATAAATGTAGACTTTGTGGGAAAGGAAGTGATAATGCTGTTGTGTTGTGAGCCATAAATCAAGACAGAGGAATTTCAGGAAACCATAATGTCCATGCTTGCAGGTTCAAAGTCCAGGATGCCATCTTTCCAATGAAGCACGCTGTAGTAAAATAAGAATATGCAAATCATGGTGATAATATTCCAAAGGCCATCACGGAGACAACTTTTGCTTCACTCTGGAAGTAACAACGCCTGGGATCCTGAAATCCTGTCCAGTGTTGCTTGTTGCATTCATTTGGGATTCCTGCCAATGGAAAAAGGGGGGCAATTTTCACTTATTCCTCCTTCAAAACTCCACCCTGGAGTGTTGGAATCCCTCCAGAGACATCACGAGAGGCAGAAAAGGGGGCTTCAGGGGGGAGGGATCACTGAATGTCTCCTTTCTCCCTTCTGTGCCACCAGCGAAAGCATTCTGCATATAAAAAGCTCTTACACCATCCCCCCCTTTTTTTGCTGGCAAGACAACTAGCTTGCAACCTGCCAGACTAGAACATGGCATCCTGCTGTCTGTGTAGACATGTTCATGTGCATCCTAAGGCACATCCTTCCAGACATTGTGTCTTCCATGTTTAACCGCCCACTCTTTCCCTACAGCTTCTCTCTACTCTTTTCTTCACATAAAGTGCCTGTTAGGTGGGGAAAGTGGAATAGCCACAGAGTACTTTTTATTCATCTCTTTGCTGCCTTTCCTTTAATAAAAGAACTCAAGGCAACATACAACATACAACATACATGCTGGCACACTCAGAAGAACATTTCACTGTGACCAGTGAGACTTATTACTTCCTGAGCGCCAGCGGAAAAATCCTAATTATGTAAAACGTGGAACTGAACTCAGCAGGACCACATTTAAGCATATACTCAAAACAACTGCTACACACACAATATTTGCTCAAGAAACATCAGGTCAAGTGGCCTGATTTTCCATTTTCCATTGAATAAATTAAAGGGGAAAGGAAAGAGACAAAAAGGGGGGCAAAATATTATAGTACTTTAATGGATTTATTCCAGTGTGAGGTTTTATAGGTCAAAATCCACTCTGTGAGATGCAGGGAATACAAGAGTGTATGTCCTCTGTATTCTTTTTCCATTTCAGTTATAATCTTTTGAATAAAACCAAAACACATTGCAGCACATACTTTTATTTTTTTAAAAAAATAGCTGTACAAATAAATTTTAGTTACACACCATAGAATCT